TCTCTTTTCAGTGGTGGCCACTGATAGGACTAGAGGAAATGGCCGGAAACTGAAACACCAAAAATTCCATAGGAACTTAAGGAAAAATTTCTTAACAGTGAGGGTGACAGAGCACTGGAACAGGCTGCCCAGAGAGGTTGTGGAGTCTCCTTCTCTGGAGATCTTCCAAACCCGCTTGGACGCAGTCCTGTGCCATGTGCTCTAGGTGTCCCTGTGTGTGCAGGGGGGTTGGACTAGATGATCTCTAGAGGTCCCTTCCAACCTTAAGCATTCTATGATTCTTCTTCAGAAAACAGCTAGTCACTTAAAATACATGACTCCCACTTTTACATCTGGTCTGTCTCCTAACCATGGCCATGTGCCTCACCACGACCACTACCTACCTTGTCTTTCTCTCCCTGCTTTTACCTCTCCAATGTTTTTACCTCTCCAACTGCATTTCCCCACCATCCACCATAACCTCTGCCCGCACAGAGGCTCGTTTCCCCACATCATGTTACTGCGACACATTATGAAGCTTCCAGACATAAAAAGACTGGAATTTTTGTGACCCTCAGGAATTCCTTTATCTCTGCTTGCACAGGTGTGGCACAGGAGACTGCACACTAATGCTATTTAAGTATTTATACTGCATGCAGTGAGCAGGCATCTTGTTCTTGATCTGCTCTCAGAGGGGGAGAAAAAGCCACATGATCCACACATATGCAGGCAAGTCCTTTCCAGAGGCTGGGTCTAGTTTTGCCAGGCTAAGGGCACTTTTTTGCAGTTTCTTTGTCCTTGCTGTAAGGAAATACAAGTGGAGATCTGCACACAAACCACAGGGTAAGCACGTACCACGCACTGGTCTCCTACAGACACCGCACACAGAGCGTGGCAGGAAGCATGGTTTATGCAGGGAAGGGAAGAACAGGACTGGAAAGGTGCTACCAATGGCCTCAAACCTTTAGTTTAAGCTATTTCCTAGCACCTATCCCTCACTTACCCTCCAAGACCCCAGCTCGTGAGCCCCCAGAACCACTGCAGTAAAGACCACTGTAATTCAGTACGTGTGTAAAGAATCAGTAAGTCTCTGAAACAATCAGCCCATCCGTACGGGCTTGGCAGGGAGCAGTGTGCTGGATATTTCTGGATATTTATCCACACAGCGGATGCTGCTTGAATAACTTATGAAACCTGAAATAGTTTTGCTTAAGCTCAAAACAGTCAACAGATTCATATTACTTCATTCAGCTTCCAGGCAACAGTCAAGCTACCTTATAAAAATAAAATAAAAAAGAAAGAAAAGTTCACTGTCTTCTCCACCACAAATACAAACTAAAGTCACCCAGTGGTAGCAATGCAAAAATTAAATTAAGTTGCTGGTGCCAATGGTGCTATTTCACATTCACAGACATTACCTCAAACTATTTACTGTGGAAGTATCCTTAATGGATTACAGAGTGAGGGTTATGAACATTTTCATAAAGATGAGGATAAAAGACTTGCACACACCATATAATTAATGTCTTATTTCAGAATACTTTATTATTTATTTTTTACCCATAACATTTAATTACTAAAATTCTCTTCCCACCACAAAAACAGAGATTACTACACCAGCCACAGATCAGAAAAGCATGAGGAAGAGGGGAAAAATCTGAAAATATCAAATTAAAAAAAAAACAAAAAACAAAAAAACCCACTTTGGCACAACTCCAATCCTGAAGTCTCAAGATTCACATAGGTTAATTAAAAATACTGTGTTTAATTTACTTGTCAAAGGCTACCAATTGAGCACTCTCTACAAAATAACATAGACTGTGGCTACCAACATGTTCCCTGATCTGAGCCTGTGAGTCTCAAGCTATTACACATTACTTTGCAGTTATGGCAAATGAGTATCAGCCCTATAAGCCTTTTAATTAAAAACATCATAAAGCCATGAAAATAGAGGGTGACAATGGCCTGCTTAGACAAAAAAAATTGGGAACAGACCCCTCGGGCCAACCGCAGATGCTCACACGCTCATTTCCCTGTTAGGGGTCAGTGCCAGGTCCAAGTTTTGGCACTGGCTCAGCCTCAATTTACCACATTTGAAGCACAGAGGTAGCGCTTTGCTGCAACAAGGCAGGTAAGCCATCTTAATCTGACCTTCTCTTTCTGTAAGTCTTTTCATATTATATTCAGGCTTATAGTATCCTTTCAACTTTACTTAGTACCCTCGACACAAAAGCAAAGCAAAAGATTTCTTGAAATGAAATAAATAATCAAGGGGGAGCCAGAAGCAGAACCATCATTAGAGTTGCACAAAAACTGAAACTCCTGTTCACAGGAAATTCCAAGCTTAAATTGTATTATAACAAAACAGAAAGACAGACTCGAAAATTTACCAAAGAATGTAATTTCTGAAGTGCCATTTAGAGGGAGCCAGAAGAAAAATTTTAACTCCTTTTAAGCAAGGTAGCTCCATCAAAAGGGAAGCTGTCAAATGGGGAAGGCAGCAGAAAGCCAAGATAACCAACAACCAGAGCACCTGAGGAGTTTGCAAGTCCTGGCTCCAGGGCCCTACATCTGACAAGGGCCTTATGTCT